AACCATCAGTAGCGCCCAAGTCTTAAGGGCGGTCAAAAATGGGGTGTCTACACACCCACCACAATATATAACCAAAAGGAAATAATGACAATAGCAACACTAATTCCTATGTTTTATCATCCACTAGCACGGAAGGCAAATGGTGCACCTGTAAGGCCCCTAAATTTTTTAATTTCATTAAGGCCTCCACTTTTAGATTATTTCAATGAAAATCCTTGGTTTCCAAGTTTACTTGCAATTTGAACCCTAGAATAAAAAATGCGTCCCGATTAGAACCGTGCGAACCCTAACCAAACTTAGGAATTATTTCTAATATTGTAATAATAATAATTAATTTACTCCCTATTTATAGAAAAATTGCTCAAAACCCTAGATTTTCAATTCTCATTATGTTTGTTCGATTAATCGTCTTTTAATTAGAAAACGAGAAATTTAAACTGAATTGTTTTCCCAAACCCTAATCTAATTAAATTCTACACCTAAATAGAAATTCTATTTAAGCTTTAGTCCACACATTCTATTAGACTTACATTTTGACCCCAAACAAGTACTTATATATATATATATATATATGTGTTTGCACCTTTAATCATATTCAATTCTTTTTGCACTCAAAATCTACAAATTGTATATTAAATTGTACACAAAAACATCAAAGAGATTCCCTCAAATCCTTAGAACATGGCCCACTATCACCTATACATGCATATTGTGATGTCTTTTTGAGGCAACAAGCTTAAATCAAGGAAGAAACATTGGCTTTAATACCAATTTGATTATATGTTAATATATATATATATATATATATTGTACTAGTAAGCAAACTAGTTTTCTTAACTCCTAATCCTAACTAGAACATGTTTTGATACACAATTAGGCTTCTTAATCATCCTACATTTCATTGAATTCAAACTAAATCCAAATTATTCAATTCATTTGGAACCAATGGCCATTTTGGACTTTCACACCAATTTTTCTATAAATACACCATCTCTCTCTACATTTTTGAGCAACAAACACACACATTGTAATGACCCGAACCTGCCCCTAAAAGTTTGGGTCATAACCGGCCAGTAATCCGTAGATTACCGAAGGCCTCAAACGATCATATAGAATATTTATGCTAATGGGGCCAAAAATAGAAGCATATAATAATGAGAAGTCCATTGAGTTGTGCCAATCATGAGCAAAATCATAGAGTTAACCACGTAATACAATAATACATATACATGCCCATCAAAAATATAAGAGCCATAAGAAAATTGTACATAGTGTTTACAACGCAAGACCATGGAAGTAAAAACAAAATAAGGTCAAGGTATGGTGTGAGTCAAGACAAAACTCCATCTCAGAGGCATAACTCGATTGGGTCACAAAAAGGCTCCTAAAGCTAACTTTAGGAGTGTGCTCCATGCTACTGATCACCTATATGTGCATACATAAAAATGGATAAGCGAAGCTCAATGAGTAATAATACAGTAAAGCAGTGTAAGTAGATGATCATAAGCTTCTCTCAAAATCTATAATCATATAAATCAAGCAGCCTTAGGCCCAAGCATATAAAAAGCGACCACAGGCCCAAACATACAACAAGCGGCCTCGGGCCCAATCATACATCAAATGGCCTCGGGCCCAATCGTACATCAAGCAGCCTTGAGCCCAATCATATAACAAGCGGCCTCGGGCCCAAACACATAACAAGCAGCCTGGAGCCCAAACATGTAACAAGCGGCCTCAGGCCCAATCATGTAGCAAGTGGCCTCGGGCCCAATCATATAGCACATGTGATATAATATTAATGAAGTTTCTCATTTCAATCAAATCGCAATGTCGGCACCAATCACCATTCATGGTTCAAGGTACACAATAAAGAATATATATATATGATATTATTACTCACAGTGCTTGATCAGATGATACTCCTTAACGACTCAGCCTGCAGAAACATACCAAGCATAACATTTCAAAACACATTGCCTTCAATTCACTCAATCGATTTATTCGTTACATATGCGTTCAATCGTTTCCCATTCTTTAATTTCTCACATGTGTTTACATAATTCCTACAATAATTCCAGATGTTTTTGATTGAAAATATGAACTTTACATATTTAAGGTTTAAGGAAAAAGCAAGAAGTGAAAGGAAACTAAGTTAGGGTAGGGAATGGCATGAAATGATTAAAAGAAAATTAACAGCCTACACTAAATTGAGAATATCTATTTGTATACTTAGAATTTGGATGTGAGACTATCCCCATTAGAAACTAGACTTCTAGGGCTTGAATTTAGGCTCAAGAATCACTTAAAACAGAGTCCAAATGAAGGAGATATACTTATTTGAAGGTACCAGGTATAAGCTGAAATAGGGCTAGTCGCACATGCGCCCACTTTGGCCGCTCGAACTATGGCCTTGGCCGCTCGAGCGGTGGTCTAAGAACAATGAAATTTCTTGTTTTTGTTCATATTCCGCTCATGAAAAGCCTGTGGCCGCTTGTGCAGCCTGGGCAAAATCAAACAGTCCAAAAATTCATTAAAGATTGAGTTTTCAAACCCAATTTCAAGCCAAGATCTCTTGTAATCTTCCTTTAAAACATGAAATAATAACCTTATACAAGTGTAATTCCACATTAAACATATCAATCTTGCATCAACAACAAATTCATGGACTCATCTCTTTCCCATATTCATACATTACATAAACAAGTTCAAAATACCTAATCCATGAATAACCTTCCAACAAATCTTGTTTTCATAAATCATCTAGGGTTTGTTTTATGGGTCAATCATAACAGTGAACTTAAAACAAAGATGGAGAGATTAGGGTTCAATTTCATGCCTTTGGCTCAAGCCATACAACTTAAAACCCTAGCTCAAATTCCTAATTTTTTCTTGATTTCAAGGCAAAGATGAGTTAGAGACAAAGATTGTAAGTAGTTTAACATATCTTAACTCAATTCTAAGGTTTGCCCCTTGATTTTCTTCAAATCCCTAGCTTTCTCTTCTTTCTCACTCTCTAGAGCTCTCAAGCAACAACGAAGAACAATAGGGCAAACACATATATATGACCCAACTCACAAAACATGATTTAATCATAATGAATCGTAATTTTTCAAAATTTCACCATAAGCTCTATAAATCATGCTAATCATAGATATGAAGTCGGTTTTTGTTTATCGCACCTCTAAAGCCTTCAATTTCAGTTCAAAGTTTCAATTGCAACAGATATTCCTACTTTCAACAGATATATTTTTTTTTCCAAATTCACATATTTTTCATACTTAAACTTACAATTCATAGTTAACACATAATCACATGCATAATTAAGCATAGTACGGGTTGGGTTATCACAGTCTTCCCCCCTTTAGGAAGTTTGGTCCTCCAAACTTGTTTACCTCAAGTTGAAAACAATTTCGGATATTGTTGTCTCATTTCTTCTTCCCGTTCCCAAGTGGCTTCGCTTCCATGATGTTCCCTTCATTCCACTTTTACCATTGGGATAGTCTTGTTCCTTAGTTGTTTGACTTACCAATCAAGGATTCGAAGGAGTTTCTCCTCATAACCCATATCACCGTCTACCACAATTTGATAATAGTCAATAACATGAAAAGGGTCTTGAAGGTAGCCTCACAACATTGATACTTGGAACACATTGTGTACCTACTCCATGCCCGGTGGTAAAGCAATCTGATAGGCTACCGAACCCAATCTTTCCAAAATCTGAAATGGCCTATGTACCAGGGTGATAATTTCTCTTTCTTCCCAAACCTTGTGTGCCCTTTCATTGGAGTGACTTTGACAAAAAATGATCCCCAACTTCAAACTCTAAGTCTCTCATTCCTTTATTCGCATAGCGCTTTTGTCGACTTTAAGCAGTTTCCAATCTCTGTTAGATGATCTGAATCTTTTTCATAGTAACTTGCACAATTTCAGGCCCAAGCAATGACCTATCCCCAACCTCAGTCCAACAACCTAGAGTTCGACATCTTCTCCCATACAAAGCTTCATATGGTGCCATCCTAATACTGGAGTGGAAACTGTTGTTATAGGCAAATTCTGCCAAAGGCAAATGAGTTTCCCAACTTTCATGAAAATCCAAAACACACATCTGGAGCATGTTCTCCAATGTCTGTATAGTCCTTTACATTGACCATCGGTTTGTGGGTGAAATGCAATACTAAACCTCAACTCCATTCCCAATGCTTTTTGTAAGCTTTACCAAAACCTTGACACAAACTTAGAATATCTGTCCGATACAATGGAGATCGGAACACCGTGTAGTCGAATAATCTCTGCAATGTACACCGTAGCAAGTCTATCAGCATTATAAACAGTCTTCACAGGCAGAAAATGAGCAGAATTACTCAATCCATCCACAACCACCCATATAGAATCCATACCTCGGGGTGTTCAGGGTAAACCCATAATAAAATCCATAGTTATATGCTCCCACTTCCATTCCAGAATAGGGAGAGGTTGAAGTAACTCCGCTGGTCTTTGATGCTCCGCTTTTACTTGTTGACATCGAAGGCACCTTGAAATGAACTCCGCAATTTCTCTCTTCATATTGGGCCACCGAAAAGCTTGCTTGAGATCTTGGTACATTTTGGTGTTTCCGGGATGCATAGCAAATTTGGACTTGTGAGCTTCTTTCAAGACCCTTCCTTTAATTTTGGAGACATTAGGAACACACAATATTCTCTTGAATTTCAACACTTGAGCTTCCAAAGAAAATCCTGATCTCGGCTTTGCTTCTATCTCATCATGTACTTTCTTGAGAAATTCATCCTCCAATTGCTTTTGTTTGATTTCCTTAATAATAGCCAGTTGCACAGCCCTCGCGGCTAACATTCCATCCCATTCATGTAGCACAATTTCCACTTCCATTGTTTCCATGTCAAGCGATAGTTCATTTTGCTCCGTAAGTAAACATGCTAAGTTCCCGTTGACTTTCTACTAAGAGCATCTGGTACCGTGCTGGCTTTGCCGAGATGATAATGAATCTACAAGTCATAATCCTTGATGAGTTCCAACCACTGCCTTTGACACCTATTAAGCTCCTTTTGAGTAAAGAAATATTTGAGGCTCGTGTGGTCGGTATAGACTTCACATATTGCTCCATAAAGATAATGCCGCCAAATCTTCAATGCAAACACCACAGCAGCTAATTCCAAATCATGCGTAAGGTAATTCTTTTCATGTGGTTTCAATTGTCGAGATGCATACGCAATCACTTTTCTATTCTGCATAAGCACACACCCCAAACCCTTATGAGAAGCATCATTATAGATCACAAACCCTTCTGTACCTGATGGTAAAGCGAGGATTGGTGCTATTGTGAGTTGTGTCTTTAATTCTTCGAAAGCGAACTCCCTCTGTTCTGTCCTCTCAAATGGAACACCTTTTTGAGTCAATTGGGTGAGCGACACCGCAATCTTGGTGAAATCTTTAACAAATCTTTGGTAGTAACCTACTAAACCCATAAAACTACGTACTTCTGTAACATTGGTAGGAGCAGGCCAATTCACAACAGCTTCTATCTTTTACGGATTGACAGACACACCATCCTTGTTAATTACATGCCCCAAAAACACAACTTCATTCAACCAAAATTCACATTTCTTCAATTTAACATATAACTTCTTGTCCCTGAGTGTTTGAAGAATCAATCTCAAGTGTTTTTCATGTTTCTCCCTACTCTTCGAATAAATAAGAATGTCATCAATGAATACCACCACAAATTCATCCAAGTACGGTTTGAAAACCCGATTCATTAAATCCATAAAAGCTGCTGGTGCATTCGTAACCCCAAATGGAATGACTAAAAATTCAAAATGGCCATACTTGGTTCGAAAGGTAGTATTCTCAACATCTTCTGCTTTGACTTTTAACTGATAGTACCCGGATCTCTAGTCAATCCTTGAAAACACTTGCGCCCCCTATAATTGGTCAAAAAAATCGTCAATCTATGGTAAAGGATATTTATTCTTCACCGTTACCTTATTAAGTTCTCGGTAATCAATACACAACCAAAGGGTCCCATCCTTCTTCTTCACAAACAAAACGGGTGCGCCCCATGGCGACGTACTCGATCGGATGAACCCTTTGTCAAGCAATTCTTGCAACTGTATTTTCAATTCCTTTATTTCTGTCGGTGGCATTCTGTACGGAGCCTTAGAATCGGTTGAGTACCCGGTACAATATCAATGACAAATTCAATCTCAGGGTCTATCAAGTCCCCTGGCAATTCTTTGGGAAATACATCCGAAAACTCACTAATAATCTGAATATTTTCAACGCCCACTTCAGTTGTCTCTGCATGCAAAATGCTACACAAATAACCTCTACAACCTTTATGAATTAGTTTACAAGCTTTCATAGCCGATATCAAATAAGGTGGAGGCATTACCCCATGTCCCACAAAAGTAAACTCATCTTGACCCGGTGGACGAAAAATAACTTGTTTACACACATAGTCAATGGTTGCATGATACTTAGCTAACCAATCCATTCCCAAAATTACATCAAAGTGTACCATATCAAGAGGCATCAAATTAGCACATAATGAAATATCTCCAAGTAAAAGCTCACATGTAGGATACATAGAAGCACATAACATATAATCCGCAGATGGGAGAGACACGCATAACACATAATTCAAGGGTTCCATAAATCTATTCAAATTAGGAGCAAAGGTTTTCAAAACAACAAAATAAGTGGAACCTGAATCAAGTAGCACATGAGCAGGTTGGCCATTGACGGAAAGCGTACCTAAAATCATAGCATCTAAATTTTGGACATCATCCGGAATAAGATCAAAGACTCTTCCTTGCCTAACATTATCTCTAGAAGTAGTAGGCCTTGTCGGGGTCTTTATTGTAGGAGTGGAACCGGCTGAGCTAGCAGTTGGCCTATTACCTTTTTGTTGCCCAAACATAGGACAATCTCGCATCATATGACCTGTCTTTCCACACTTAAAGCAAGCTCCTGATGCTCGATGGCAAACCCCTCGATGTTTCTTCCCACATTCCGGGCAAGTTGGTGGTGAATCACAGTTAGACCCCACAGTGTTGGAAGTTCCCAAATTTTACTTCTTATTTTGTGAGGACGCCGACCCTTTGTGCATATTGGAACCCTACCTCTTGCCTTTCCAATCTGAGTACCGATTGCGGTTGGCTTGATTACCTTCTGCTATGATGGCCCTATCCAATACGTCTACATATTTTTGTACCTGCAATATATTAATCTTCTCAAGAATGGAGTCTTGGAGACCTCCCTTAAATCTCTTCGCCTTTTTGTAGTTCATGTCAACCATGTACGGTGTGAAACGGGTTAGTTCGGTAAATTGCACGTCATACTCCGTTATGGTTTTGTTCCCTTGCTTCAAGTTCTCAAACTCTGACACCTTTCTATCTTGGATACTCTATGGGAAGTATTTCTCATAAAAGATCTCCAAAAACTGAGCCCAATTCATTCTTTGATGTTCCTCTTAGATGAGCATCCACCAACGGCGTGCCTCATCTTCGAGTGTAAAAGCAGCAAGTAAAACTTTCTGGCCCTCTGTACATGGAAAGACCTCAAACAATTTCTTTATGCCAAGCACCCATGTCTCTACCTTCAGTGGATCGATTCCCTCTTTGAACAATGGTGGTTTCATCTTCTTAAATTCCTTTGTAAGAGCAATAGTTCTGTCGTCAGCTTGGTAGTCTTGCACTACAGGTGATGGCACCGGCATTGGTGGCGGTTGTGGTTGTTGTTGCTGTTGTTGTTATTGTCTAAAAGCTTCAGCCATGTCCATAATCATTGCCTCTATCCTATCAAGTCATGCGGAGGTTGAATCCTCTCCATCTTCCACCCTTGTTCTCACCATGATCTAGAGGAACATACATTATAACTTTCACAGATAGTATGCACATAAGCCATATATACAAATGCACATTTTCGTGTCATACTTGATTATGAATGAAATGTGGATGCAACTTAAACCTTTTCTAGACTTCTTGTTTCTCACATGGACTCGTGTATGAGATATTAACTTGTGCTCTGATACCACCCTGTCATGACCTAAACCCACCCCTAAAAGTTTGGGTCATAACCAGCTAGTAATCCATAGATTACTGAAGGCCTCAAACGATCATAAAGAATATTTAAGCTAATGGGGCTATAAACGGAAGCATATAATAATGACAAGTCCATTGAGTTGTGCCAATCATGAGCAAAATCATAGAGTTAACCATGTAACACAATAATACATATACATGCCCATCAAAAATATAAAAGCCATAAGAAAATTGTACATAGTGTTTACAACCCAAGACCATGGAAGTAAAAACAAAATAAGGTCAAGGTATGGTGTGAGTCAAGACAAAACTCCGTCTCGAAGGCATGACTCGATTGGGTCACAAAAAGGCTCCTCAAGTTTACTTTAGGGGTGTGCTCCATGCTACTGATCACCTACATGTGCATACATAAAATTGGGTGAGTGAAGCTTAATGAGTAATAATACAGTAAAGCAGTGCAAGTAGATGATCATAAGGTTCTCACAAAATCCATAATCATATAAATCAAGCGGCCTCAGGCCCAAGCATATAACAAGCGGCCTAAGGCCCAAACATATATCAAGCGGCCTTGAACCCAAACACATAACAAGCGGCCTCGGGCCCAAACACATAACAAGCGGCCTCGGGCCCAAACACATAACAAGCGGCCTCGGGCCCAATCATATAGCACATGTCATATAATATTAATGAAGTTTCTCATTTCAATCAAATCGCAATGTCAGCACCAATCACCTTTCATGGTTCGAGGTACACAATAAAGAATATATATGTATGATATTATTACTCACAGTGCTTGGTCAGATGATACTCCTTAACGACTCAGCCTGCCGAAACATAACCAAGCATAACATTTCAAAACATATTACCTTCAATTCACTCAATCGATTTATTCGTTACATATGCGTTCAATCATTCCCCATTCTTTAATTTCTCTCAAGTGTTTACATAATTCCTACAACAATTCCATATGTTTTTGATTGAAAATATCAAGTTTACATATTTAAGGTTTAAGGAAAAAGCAAGAAGTGAAAGGAAACTAGTTAGGGTAGGGAATGGCATGAAATGATTAAAAGAAAATAAATAGCCTACACTAAATTAAGCAAATCTATTAGAAACTAAACTTCTAGGGCTTGAATCAAGGCTCAAGAATCACTTAAAACAGAGTCTGGATGAAGGAGATATACTTATTTGAAGTTACCAGGTATAAGCTGAAACAGGGTTGGCCGCACGTACACCTACTTTGACCACTCATGCAGTGACTGGGCCGCTCGAGCGGTGGTCTTAGCAGAATGAAATTTCTTGTTTTTGTTCATATTCTGCTCGTGCGGAGCTCGTGACCGCTTGTGTAGCCTGGGCAATATTAGATAGTTTGAAAATTCATCAAAGATTGAGTTTTCAAACGCAATTTCAAGCCAAGATCTCATGTATTCTTCCTTTAAAACATGAAATACTAACCTTATACAAGTGTAATTTCACATTAAACATATCAATCTTGCATCAACAACAAATTCATGGACTCTTCTCTTTTCCATATTCATACATTACGTAAACAAGTTCAAAATACATAATCCATGAATAATCTTTCAACATATCTTGTTGTCATAAATCATCTAGGGTTTGTTTCATGGGTCAATCATAACAGTGAACTTAAATCAAACAAAGATGGAGAGATTAGGGTTCAATTTCATGCCTTTAGCTCAAGCCACCATACAACTTAAAACCCTAGCTCAAATTCCTAATTTTTTCTTGATTTCAAGGCAAAGTTGAGTTAGAGACAAAGATTGTAAGTAGTTTAACATATCTTAACTCAATTCTAAGGTTTGCCCCTTGATTTTTTTCAAATACCTACCTTTCTCTTCTTCCTCTCTCTCTAACTCACTGTTTAGAGCTCTCAAGCAATAATGAAGAACAATAGGCTAAACACGCATATATGACCAAACTCACAAAACATGATTTAATCATTATGAATCGTAATTTTTCAAAATTTCACCGTAAGCTCTATAAATCATGCTAATCATAGATATGAAGTTAGTTTTTTTTTTTTTTTTTTTATCACGCCTCTAAGGCCTTCAATTTCAGTTCAAAGTTTCAATTGCAACAGATATTCCTACTTTTAACAGATATTTTTTCCAAATTCACATATTTCCCATACTTAAACTTGCAATTCATATTTAACACATAATCACATGCATAATTAAGTATAGTATAGGTTGGGTTATCACACACATACATTACACACACCCACAGCATAGAGAGGGAGAGGAGAGAAAGAGAGAACTTTTGGTGGTGGAGGAGGAAAAAGTAAGGAATTTTTGAGAAAAAACTTCACTAGGAAACAAGTAAGTCACTACACAATCCTTTCTTTTATTTTCTCATTCAAAGACAAGATATTAGAGGCTTAGTATTAATTTTAGATGTTTATATATGGTGTTCATGTGTTTAAATAAGAAGAATTGAGCCTTAGTTGTCACCTTGCATGAGTTCTTCATTAAAATGAAACAAAACTATCTTTTTCTATCCCTTTCTCATATTATTTCCAAAGGCATACCTTCATTCTAAAAATCTTATTTATTTGTATACTATTTAGCATGTTTTCATCATAAGAGAAGTGGAAAATTACTCATGGTTGCCCTATTTTTCTATTACTTTTCTTATTTCAAGCTTTGTGTAAGAAAGACCAATATTTTCAACCCACTTTCAAACTTCTAGCAAAATGCATAAAAATCCTCTTGACCTAATTTTTATATCAAAACTTTCTTGAAAGTGTTATATTTCAATTAAAACTAGTTTTATTGAAAAGAGTGAGTGGTTTAAGAGAAAATCCGATTTTCGTAACAGTCGACAAATCTGGACAGTACTGGAGTATTTCTTTAATTACTAAAAATATAGGAAAGCTATCCCATTTCTAAATGGTGATCTGCAAATTAGATAAAATTATCTACAAATTCTAAAAAGGCCAAGTTTGGAAAGAAAAAAAATCTGAAAAAGTCTCTTAGATTGTGATCTTTAACGTATATCTACTCTGGAATTTTATTTTTGTTGATGATTACATGCTTTTAATTTCATGAATATGCTTCTTATTGGTTGTTCAAGCTTTAGTTTGACATCTACTTAGATTTGTGGTTATATTACCTTAATCTTATGCCATGAATGTCCATAGTTGTGTAGAAATTATTATTTCAATTTTTTGTGCTAACCTTGATTAATGCACTTAAATTAACGAGAAACTTAATAAGGGTGATAATGGGTTTTCGATCACATGAACAATTTTATGAGATAATGATTGTGTTAACTTCATGTATTGGGTGGTGGGACGTGTTCCCTATTTGAAAGTAAAGTCTTGCGCAAGTGCTTATTTCGAAACCCTTGAATTGGTTGGTTGTATTCGGACCCTAGGTGATTTCTGTGTGATAAGGTTGGAGGAGGTTATGGGCAAGGCCCTTATTTTATTGTCTCTTTTGGGATTCTCTGTTGGTGCTATGTGATACGTAACCATTGTAGGCATCCGAGGTAAGGTCTGCAAAGAAGCAAAAAAAAAATTGCATACCGAATGATCGGAGTCCAATTCTTGTGATTGGAGGACAGAATCTCTTTGGGAATTTCTAGGTTCTAACACCTAACCTTGTAACCCTCTACTTGTTTAGTTGCTTGTTTATCCTGCTTAAATGTTTATCGCAATTATGAATGTGTATTGAACTAGGAAAAAATGGACGAGGTGTGTGTGTGCATTTATTGAGCATTCCAAACTCATGGCGTTTCATGCCAAGTACCGAAGAAACCTATGTAGACGACGAAGAACCGAAAACGTTTGAAGACTATTGGTTATCCTAGACGAAATTAGAAGTAATTTTGTTTAAAAGTCCATCTATAATATTTTATCTTTTGAGAATGTAATATTGATGGAACTTGGGTTTGTAACTAAATTTTAACTTTTGTAGTTATTATTGTTTATATCTATATACATATATTTTGTGAACCTATCCTTACCCTTCCATCAACTTATGTAGACCTTGTGTGAATACATTTTTAAGATCTGTCAAAAAAGTAGTTTTGCTATCTAAGGTGGTTGGACTTTGAAGGAAAGTTATATTGACTCCTCCAATCTTCCTGAGATCTTACTTGGTTATTGACCAAAGGACATCATAGCACCCATTGTATCACAAGACATATACCAAAAAAAAAAAAACTAAACAATACTATCACATAAGACAACTCGGCTTCGTTAAGCCATTACCATCCACTTTATTAGGCACTAGCTGGAGAGAACTTGGAACCTATCATTCGATGTGCAACCACTTTACCAAATGCTAGCTGGAGGGAACTTGGGACCCATCATTTGAAGCATGTCCCACTTTACCAAGCGCCAGCTAGAAGGAAATTCGTAACTCTCATTTGAAACGCAAACCACTTTACCGGGTGCTAACCGGAAGGAACTTGGGACCTAAATATAGCACTTTCATCATTCAACTCATCACATAACACATCATTCTAGATTACACAATCTAGTCCATAATATTCAACATATATAATCTATTTAGTAACAATCAATCAATGCCATCCTCCAGTGATGGCCATGGAAAAAACTCTAAGAGCATCTCCAATGGTAACTTTTAGCAGCTGTTTTCTTTGGCAAATGCCAAAGCTTGTGTCAAATATGGCACAAGCTTTGGCAGCT